CGGATTCCCTTGAATACGTACGGGGTAGTGGATGGGAACGGTGAAGTGCAACTCATAACCTATCCCGTTCCAGCGGCCTTTTGTCTTTTCGTGGCGCCACCGTTAAGGCCTCTCCGGAGACCGAACGAAAAGAGGACAGCAGCCTGTTCGTTCACTGGAGATGGCAGAAGGACTTCTGGGATGGAGCGGGTTTATCCTGAAGAGGTGAACTTGCGAAGCCCTGGGGACGGCAGTGCTCATTGTCAGTAGATGTAGCAAATAAATTTGGTGCCCTTGGCTTCTGGGGTGGAGCGGATGTATCCTGAAAAGGTGTTCGGCCGTGCCCGGTGAGGCTATTTGCCCCTAGGATTCTTGTCGAAGAAACGGCATAAGGCCATAGAAAGGGGTGGGTTATTCCCGCAGGACTAGATGTGTGGAGAAGCTTAATTTTCATCGAACAGGTTTTTAGAGATGCGTGTTGGGGCAAGCGTATTTCAACCAATTTTTCCCCTTAGGGCGGAACATCCCTTTGAGATGTGGTGGTCAATAGGACGATTAGCATTCTCATCTCCATTATCCCTCAACCGAGCCGTACTTTAATAATTATGGGCCAGGTAACAATGAGCGGTATATCGTGTTAGAGGCTTGGGTGTATCCTGCAAAGTTGAGCTTGGTCCTCGTTATGTCCTTTTACTCTCAAAACAATTCCCAAGTTTGTGGAGTGGGTGCTCCATGGAAATTCCAACAGACCCTTCCCAACCCTCGTTGCAATGGAGGGTTTCAAAATAATGTATCCTTGAGAACGTGAGACCCTTAATAAAGCACAAGCTGTATTCGTGTTTTCTGCGGCGCATGATCTCCTTAAACACCCTCCACGTACATTTTGAAGATAGGATGAAAGAAGCGTATAGTATGCGAGATGCAATTACTACGCCTACCCAGTCCCCAGAAATGCGTGAAGGGAGTTGTTAGCTTGCTAGCTGGCTGCGGACGGCGGGTGCTAGATGATCGGCACCCGTGGGTTAGAGTACCTGATCATGTCTGCATAGATGGGGGAGGGTGCGTAACCAGCTGTACTATGGGATAGCACAGTGGCTTCAGTTTCAATACCAAAAGCGTTCTATGTGGGCATGGATTCGTCGTTGGCCGTAGGTGAGTACCCTGCCGGCTATTTAGAGAAGAGCCTGTTGTTTGGTGGTACCCGCATGGGCTTCCTTTAACGAAGGTAGGTTCCTCTAGGGGGTGGTTAGAAATTCCACTTTAGACGAAACCGCGGCCGGAGCGTATCCGGTAGTTTTGACTCTGGCGAGCGAGGCCCCTACACTCAGGGAGATAAAGTAGTCGCCTGTATGAAATTTACCAGGGTTTGGGAAGTTATAAACTGCATGTAATGCTAAAACTTTGGCGTTCGTAAATAAATTGAAATGCGTCTTACATACCAACAAAATTGAGGTAGACAGTTGACAATGATCGGACACGCCCAAACTAATCTTTCTTTTGAAAGCAGCCAATAATTAAGCGGCAATCACGCAGATATGTTATTTTCGTCGCGAATATATTTAGTTACAGTCAATCTTTTCAAATAGAATTTACTAATTTGAAAATCACTTATGCTGCTATTAAAATTTCCATGTTTTCCAACTCAACAAACTTATGTTCTGTATGAGTACAAATTGAAATTTTATATTATGGTCATGTAAGAAATGCATAATAATAGGTTATAGATATGTAATACATTTGATTCAAAGATGTACATGATTCCCACATTCATTTCTAGAGCTTAAAAGGTAGAAAAGATATATTTTATCCTTTAAAAAGATTAAATAGATTACACATCGTCTGGTTATGAGCAGCCAGCTTATATAAGAGGATGATCGTTAAGATTGCTGACAATAGTCAAATTGTAAATAAACTCCCCAGGATGACCAGCGAGACCCTACAGGGCCAAACCGCTTATCGTAACCGGCTTAAATGCTTTGACTGGTCGGTCGATTTGTAAGTAGATTATCCAAGACTGGTCCAATTGCCCAAAGCAAATATGTCATTTATACTTCATAAATTACTAACCGAATTTTAGGAACATTGTTGGTATTTTATTTAAAAAGATAACTATATTTCCTTATTTTATTTTATATTTCCTTAGCAAATCCACTCCAAAATAGTACAAACCTTCTGAAAAGAGGAGTGCTTGTTACGTCGAGAGCGTGTTTTTCCCGTAATTTACTCTAGATCTAACTTGAAGTACCGTCTTTTTGTTGCTTGGATGTTCTCGATTATTCCCTACCGATCTTCAATTCAAGGATCCTGTTTCATCAAAGTTGTTTCATTGTTCCCGAGTGAACATGGTGTATAGTTTCCTTGCTTGGATAAACACGCGTCTGTAAAACTTGTGTGCTGATCTACATTCAGATTATTGTTAGTTTTTATTCGGTATTGACAGTTAATAGACGGCAATTAATAGACTAATAGAAGGATCTAGTAGTCCGTGTGTATAATGCAGTTTTTCCATTCAGTACAAAAATAATTGTTGTCATTATCAAAAAATAAATAACAAACGCTATTAGTTTTCCACCAAGGTTAATTAAAAATACATTTATTATAAATAAAAAAAGTTAGGATAGTCTAGAAATGCATTGTTTTCACTTTTCCATAGAACAGAGCTGTCCATGTCACTTGGTTTATATATTACAATTATTATTATTTAACTGTATATTGAAGAAGGGCTATATTTCAATATATCATACTTTCCTTATTAGATATTCCGGGATTTACGATGTCACCTTTATCATGTTACAAGTTGGGAATATAATGACCTGTGCGCAAAAGCTGAAAAATTCACGAACAGTTAAAATCCGATTAATTATTTATTTTCTTGCATCAAATCTGATCTGCTTTCGTTAACATAAAGCTTTGTTGGTACAAATCACTATTGAATTTTTTTTTCAAAGGAAACCTAGAACGTTTGAACTTAGAACGAATTCCTCCCATACTTCTGTACCAAACGCAAATTATGTAACAAAATTGACTCCTATGTGTGAATATTTTGTTACGTTATATCAAAATTGACATTTTCCTTTTTAAGCATTAAATTGTATCAATTTGTAACAATCCAATACCGTCAAGTTTGTACGTTTTAAAAAGTGATCTTTCTTTTAAAGTACAACGTCGGCTATCGTCGTATTTGCAGACAGTTTAGACAGAATGCAATATCGGACCGCGGTGGCAGTGATTAAGGTATATGACTCGTATTTGGTAGACTACTCTACTGGGTTCAAATCCTACCGTACCTATGACTTTCTAATTAATAATAATATAACGATGAACTAGATTATCGACCTGCTGGATACAAGAAGTCTTTTCAGAGGATCTTCGGAAGAGGTCAAAACAGAGAAAACTTCCTTACGGTTTTTGCCGAGCTTTCGACAGTTTTATACTGTCATCTTCAGGGCCTGTTTTATTATCACATAAACAAACAATTAAAACATGAAAAAACAATAATTACAACAATAATTAGATATCCAATTATTGTTGTAATTATTGTTTTTTCATGTTTTAATTGTTAAGGAAGTTTTCTCTGTTTTGACCTCTTCCGAAGATCCTCTGAAAAGACTTCTAATAATAATATGAAAGTGTATTTTAAGATGATTTTTGACCCGTAGTCCGACACAGCAAGAGGATAGTTTGGACACTAAAACCCTCCTGTTACAGGAATTACCATACTTTTCCTTTACTGTCCAAATGTATATACTGAATTGTTTCTACCTACAGCATCGTCCGAGAAAAATGAACATTTTCCGCCACTGGTAATGTTTGAGAAACGTGAATTATTCGAACATGTCAATTTAATCGCTGACCCAATTTCGACTTCAAAACTCCAAAAGTATTACACACAAAACAAACATAAACGTAATTTTTTAGAAATGGTTTATATCAACAGGGATAAACACGCATCAATTACAGAACAGATACATGTAAACTCAGTCGCAGCTAAGCCAATATCTTTAATCAAATTCAATACAGATAACATACCTACATTCCACACATCAAATATTTTTCACATAGTTTAATTTCCCAACAATTTAGCTTTCCTTTTCCTATTTTATCCTTTTCTATATTATCCTGAAACATTTTTTCCATTCGTCGGCTCTTTTCACTTCAAAGAAGCCGACGCCTTATACAAAAACGTCTTTCCTATACCGACATCCTTCCCCACCCCTTCAAAATCCAACGTTTATAAACACAAAATAGCAAAATCTCACTGGCACTCACGCAAAAATGGCACAATTACACAGAAGACAAACACTTTGAGTGAGTAGAAATACTTTGATTGAATATATAAAAAATATATTTTGCATTGTATAAATTCACTTTTCCACATCCAAAATGTAATTGTTATATGAAAACAATGTTTGTATATCCCAGGCCCTGAAGATGATCTCAATAAAGATCGAAACGTTGGCACGATAAAGAAAATGTTTTTCTGAAACCTACATCACACCAGACCTCATCTCACGATTTCTAAGAATCCTAACCTAATATTGATCGCTAAATATGGCGGATGGTTTGCCAAAGTTATCATACGAATACTTACACTCATCAGTAATTCAGCATCACCAACTGCTGGACGGTGCCAAGAACGATGCTTTATTGTGCTGGTGTTGTCAGAATATCATCCTCGGAAGAAAAACCTTACACAAAAAATGCCAAAAGAAAAGCATTGCAATTGATGCCTGTTGTACTTAGTTTTCTTGTCCCATAGTGAGTCAGAAGACTGCAAATGACAATTAGGTACCATAAAGTAGACATTCTTAATGGGTCTTCCAGACTAAAACAGATTGGAAATTACGAAGATGATAAAAATCATGTCTATGTTAGCAATGTTGGTTTAACAACATATTTCAACATAGTCCTCCACTGACACTGCAAATACGTAAGGCTAATCCGGATTAATACAAAAAACACTTCAAATTCTTTCCATGCTTGTTAATCCATTTTTGTTAAATATAAATTTCTTCTTTTAGATAAATGCTTCCGGTCCGGACAGGGTGGTGCTGAGAGACGTCCAGATGAAACTGGCCGGCAAGTACAGGTGCGAAGTGTCATCCGACGCTCCGCATTTCCATACCAAACTCGTCAGTGCACACATGCACGTCGTCCGTGAGTATTTTGCCAAATATTTTTAAAACAAGGAAAACAAACCTTAAAATACAGAACAGGCATATTTAGGATGTAAACTGCAAAGATTTGTAAACAGATATCACAGAAAGATACAGAGGTGGATGACTTTTGTGTACAAAACGACAGCTAAACACAACGTTAACATTTAAAATATAGTTTCAGTTAGTAAAAAGTAAAATACATCGTTTAAGTAAATTAACAATAAGTAAGTACGTTTAAGTAAGTAAGAAGAACTTGTTAAGAAACACAAACGAAACTCATAATGGAAAAGAAGATGAAAAGGACTGATATAGTACCATTCGGATATAATTGTTTATTCAAATTTTCGAGCTGGTGTTACAAATGTTTAATTCAATATTACTTAATTAATCTGTGCTTTGGTTTGAATGTCAGCTGTGAATCTTTAGAGCCCCATTCACTATTTCTAAAAATGACACTACATTAATTGAAATCACCTAGATATTTTAAGGAAAGTTTAGTTGGAATGTGTTTAGAAGGTGACGTTTCGTGAGAATTCGTATTTTCCCTTTCACAACCTTTGCTCGAATGGAAGCTGAGAGAAAGCAAAACTCACTTAACCAATCTTTGCATTCTAATTAACCTTCATTGTTTGAAGAGTTTAATTACGCGGATGCTGTTTTGGCAAGGGTTTATTTTACAGAATGACTCTTATCAATTAGAATACTGATTAAACAAAGGGTGGATGCTGGATGCGGTCCTGGGGATGGGTCCGGGGTAATGACTGTTGTCCAAATCTTCTTAACAACCCCCACTCAGCTCGGAGCCTTCCCCCTTCTAGCTAGCTCTTCGGCGAGAGCTAATGGTCGGCAAACACGGCCTTGCTCGTAAATCAAATCGACTCTAATATCAGTGAGCGGTGGTAATTAATCACAGACAGTAACACATAAACCGATAATTTATTACCGAATAGGGTATAAACCAGTTGGATCGAAGGTAGGTTGCCGTTTTACTCAAATCTTAATTTGAAATATCTTCTTCAGTATTAAATTTTTGCAAGAATATACACATTAAATATTTTTTTAAAGATACTTCCTACTCACAGTAAGTTGTTTTCAAAGATTCGGATTTCGAGCCTATTGCTCATCATCAGGTTGAAGGAGCTCTACAGCCATGTCTCTCGACATGAAATGCACGGCTGAACCCCCCAGTTCCCCGGCCATTAAGACGTTCAAATGAGAAGTTGGTTATTAATGCTGCTCAATTATTTGTCACGTGCGAAAATCGGGAATTATAACTCAATCAAATATTATATTAATAAATACTGTAAGAATTTAATTATAAACCAGTGATTAATTTATATATATATATATATGTCGGGGCTGGACAAACGACTTGTTCAATTTAAACTTTACTTTATTAAAAAAGTAAACAAATTTATTATAATTTATACAATTACAAACAACTTTAAATTTCACTTAAACTTCACACGTCTTTTCGTCTTTCGGATCTTCTTACCTCGTGACTCTCTGTAACCTCCTTTCCACTCCGCCTCATCCGTCACAACACGTCCCCACCACCAATCACACTCCACGTCATCATCCCACATACATTTATATATATATANTATTTATTTATTTAATTTTTTATATTATTTTTATTATTTTTTGTTTATTCTGTTTATGAAGACATTATGAACAAGAAGAAAAGAAATGAACATTATGAAGAAGCTTATGAACACAATAAACATTTTATACCATAGAAAGGAATAAGGTTATACTTATGCTAATAAATGCAAAACACCAACAGAGATCACGGACATAACAATCGCAAATAGATAGTTGATGTAAATAATTTCTGCTTTATAAAAGTGTAGCCGAACTTTGACGTCATGTTCAAATTAGAAAATTTAAATTAATTACCGGTAGAGTATTTTTGTGTAAATTTTATATACAGGAAGATTTTTCGATGATGTTCCATTTCAAGACAGAGCTCTTTCTATTTCACTTTCTACATCTTTAACCTAAAGTGAGAAAAAGGCCTGGCTTAGAAAACTGTGTTACATGTTCAACATTTTATCTATTTTAAGCACGCTTTAATAGGAAATTATCAATTGTTATTTTATCAATCTGAGTTTGAATATTATCTGTTGACTTTTGAATTAACCAATTTTATTTTAATTTAATCACATCAAATTTATTTTCTGTTATCTTTTTTGAGTTCGTATATAGTTAGCATTTAACGTCACTTAGTACTAAGGGATGAGGAAGGTTCTCCTAACACTCTGTTTGGGAAAACTTGTGCAAACACGCTCTTTCCTCCCTCACCCGGCGCCCCTTTTAAATACCAATAAAGCCTCTAATGACTTTGCCTGAAGGCCCCTTCTCAGAAACGTTTTTATAATTAATGCCCCCTTTCAGTAAGTGAGGAACAATGCACCGAGTTGATGTCTGGGTAAAAAATCTAATTGTTCCTCTCTCTATTCCTCTCCCTCTCCCACTCCCTCAACCTCTCCCTCTTTCTCACTCTGTCGCTCTCTTTATTTATTTTCTCTCTCTCTCTCTCTCTCTCTCTCTCTCTCTCTCTCTCTGGCCTACCCTCCATCATGCCACAACCCTCCAAAAGCCCGGCGAAGTCCGCTCTGAGAAACAACGAGGAATTAGGACTTGGTTGTAAGTTCTGGCCGAGGAACAATGCCGGCTAATTTTTACTCTCGTCAAAAATGAGGGAGCGGTTGCGAGAAGTGGTGAGGAACTTGGCCGCGTCCAACCACACCCACCGAATTTACATTTAAATGAATTGCCTTTCCTTTACACAACTTTTTACTTCCCTCCGGCTACATAAAAAGAAATATATATTCCACCAGCGGAATTAAAGAGTAAATATATACGATATTGCCATTCACTTAGGTTTTCTTACAAATGAGAAATGAAGATGTCAAGTTGATAAAAAATTAAAAAGACTGTTGTTACATTCACGCCTTTAGAAATTACGGTCATCTGTTATTATTTTTTTAATATATACATAATAGCAATAAGGACACCTTCCACAGTATAAGAAGCCCTATATTGTTGGGGAGAGACGAACAAGACAAAAGAAAAGGACTGATATTACACGTTGAGTTAGTAAACGTTTAGTAAGACGTGCACAAAGAAAAACAGAAAACAGATTCAACGAACACTATCGCTATAATTTCTAATTTCTATTATCTAATATTCTATTTCTATAATTTGTATTTTGCTTGTTTAAAATCAATATTTAACTAAAACTATTTGTTTCTTTCAATTATGGACTTTCATATAAAGATAAAACCCTAGATACATTAAACGACATTCGCTTAAATTACGTACAATTTGGTTACGGTAGTTCAAAACTTAATTAATAAAATATGAAATTTACGTTTAAAAAAATTTTGATTTTTACTATATATAATAAAATGTTTTTTTAAACTTTTTATTTATTTTTTACAACTGCATTCTTCGACGCAACAAGTAAAAAAGATAATATTTACATATAAACATATTAACGGTAGCATGAAATCTTCAACAATTACCATCCAGTGATGGTAGCCGTTAGTAAATCAATACGATGAGCGAGATGTACTCCGTCGTAGGAGATCGATGTCAACGTTAAGGTTGTCGCGAGGCCACCGACGCTTCAGTCTTCTGTTGGGATTATTAGGTAATGTGGTGGATGACAGGTTTTTGACGAAAGGGTTCGGATGATGGGGTAGTTTGGAATGGAACGTTTTGTAGCGGGATTGGGCTAGCTCGGTAACAAAAGGGACATTTAGCTCGGTATGAATGGTGTGATTGGATACACAGAAAGGGGCGTTGACTATTGTTCTGAGGATTTTAGATTGAAGGGATTGGATTCGATTGAGGTTAGAACGCTTAGCAGTCCCGTAAAGTTCAAATCCGTATGTCCAAATGGGGGCCAGGAGGGCAATGTAAAGTTTTCTTTTGTATGTTAGTGAGAGTTTTGATCGTCTGTCGAGTGGTAGTTTAAGCAAGAAAAATCGTATATTACAGTCTGTGCGCTTAAATCGTGTATGGGGGTTCCACGTCAGTCGTTTGTCGAGGTAGAGTCCGAGTATCGTACATGGTTCGCAATTGGGATGGGACCGTTGTTGAGGTATACTGGTGGGAGTGTTTTCTTGTTTAGCGTAAATATTATGTTTGTTGATTTGGTGTCGTTGATCATGATTCTCCACCGACGGAGCCAGCATTCTAGGATGTTTAGTTGATTTTGAAGATTACGGGAAGCTCTGACAGGATCTTGATCAGGAGAAAGGATTCGGGTATCATCGGCGAAGGTGAAGGTGACAATGTTAGGTTGCGTAGGTAGGTCGGAGGTATAAATTGAATAAAGGAAAGGAGCGAGCACGCTGCCCTGTGGGACATCTTCAAGAATAGTATGGATAGGAGACAATGCATTTTTGTGGGATACTTGGAAGTAATGATCGTTAAGATAGGATTTTAGGATAAGGTAATAGGTTGCTGGTAGGATGTTCTTGAGCTTCCACAGCAGCCCAGAGTGCCATACTTGGTCAAAGGCTTGGTGTACATCCAAGAACACACCCGGGCAATGCTGTTTTAGCTCAAGGGATGTAGAAATAACGTCGATTATGCGTTGTGCTTGTTGTACTCCGAAAGCCGAATTGGTGATTGTAGGAATTTCCTTGGACAAGCGGGTCAATAGGAGCTTTTCCAGTATTTTACCAATAATGGGGAAAAGACTGATGGGTCGATAGGAGCTAGGAAGGTGATTTGGTTTCTTAAGTTTTGGGAGCATCCTGATGGAAGAAACTTTCCAACAGGTGGGAAAATGGGTTGTACGTAGGACAGCGTTGAATAGGTAGGTTGTAAAGATAATGGCTTTTTTAGTTAGTTGGGATAGGATGATGGAAGTGATTAGGTCGTAACCTGGACATTTCTTTTTGGAAAGGTTTAAGATGGCCTGCTTGACTTCATTAGGAGAGAAAGGTTTTGGAGGAAGGGAGAGAAGTAATGGTTCGTGAA